ATACCGCGTGGTTTATATAGCATACATGTTGCTGCTGATTGGGCTGACATTTTTGACACACCCACCAAACAAGAGAAAATGCATCTCAAACCCCATTGCACACCGTTTCCAGGAAACATGTCGTTCAAACCGGAAACCGTAGCAAAACGTTGCGCACAGGTTTGAGCTTGAACTTGCCCCAGCTTTCCAAAACAATCCGCTTGCCATTGGTCACGCTAACAAATAGCCCCGCCCCAAACTCACGCCATTGGTTAAACCGAATTTTTTTTGTCTCACCTTGACGCATTTAGAGATTAGAACGTGCGCGCACAGGTGTTTATTCTCTCTCTGCTCATCAGTATATTTATATAATTTTTTAATATTTATTTATTAATTCAAAATAATTATATACATAAAAATGAAAGGTTTAATGTAATGTGCACATTTTTATTTAGAAATAAATATTTATAGTTTGCTACTATTTTTATTTTTTTTACATAGTATTTATCTAAATTCAGTATTTTTAAAAGAACAGAAATGCATGCATTATCCATTGACTAAGCAGATTTGTAGATTTAGAGGTTACCGTGGCAACAGTAGACAAACTATATTGATGAAACACAAGTAAATTTGATCAATTTATTACTCATTTATACAACAAAATATATCACAAACAGCATATATTGCTGTATTGCTATAGTATATGAAATCACTTCATTTCAATCATTTTTGTGTAGCTTTCTGTCTGTCATTGTATTATATATGAACTCATAAGCCGCTCTACTCTGTATATATTGTTATGGGCCATTATAAAGCCCATGCCCAGGTTGATGATGAGAATGGTGTTTTGTGATTTAATTTGCCTCCATGCATACCGTGGCGTAACATATAAGCCGTGTGCATGCGCAGTGCTGTCCGGTTAAGCTCATTTCATCCTGTGACTGTCTAAACTCCATAACCTGGTTGGCTTGTTTGATTTTTCTTGATTTTATCCCAGCTAATCCTCCTAAAGGATTGGCCGCTGGATCTCGCTGGCATTGTCGCCACCGTCCAGTGCTCACAATGACAGCCTGTTTATTCTCCAAAATAATCACACAGTATTAAAACAGATTATAAATGTATAGAAGGGCTCTTTATTTCATGCAGCAGCTTTGCGTTTGCTTTGTGTGTGAAAGAGCGATTGTGTGTTTGTGTGAAGGGCCTGCTTGGACTGCTTGTTGTGGACTGATGTGAGTTTGTGAGGATATTTAGCAAAGATGTGTCTGTGGTGGGAGTTTAAATGGAACGGCCGATGGTTTGTGATGCATGGGAAATATTTTCTGTTCATGTTGAAATGTTTCGCAAAATGTTCAAATTCTGCAGAGAACCCTTTTATGGTTTAATGTTTTAATAGGCAGAGTCTGCAAAAATGGAAATTCTGTCATTATTTACTCTCCATTTACTTTCCAGTCATTCCAAACCAAGTCATTTCCATGTTTTTTTGTTGTTGTTGTTGTTCCTTGGAACACAAAATGGGAAATTTTGAGGAATATACACTCTGTGTACATATATGGAAAACATGGACATTTTGTGGGTTTTTTTCGAATATGATTTTCTATTAGAGCTGCACAATTTGAGGGAAAAAATGGGGAATTTTTTTCCCCCTTATAATTATTGTTAGTGTGGTTTAAAAATGTTTTATTTTATTTTTAAAATCCTGGTTTGCTGTGCTTGTGTGTAGGGCTGCACAATTTGGCCAAAATTTTGTGACCGTATCAATAAAATAAACAAAGGATTAATATTGCTATAATAAATAAAATTGAAAAAAAACAAAAAAACAAAAAAAAATAAAAATAAGAAATATTACTATTGCAATATTTCTTATTTTAATAATAAATGCCTTTCCGTTTTGATGAGATTTGTAAAGGGAGAAAAAAGTTTGGCAAAAGGCGGGTTCGAACTCGGGTCAGTCACGTTCTTGATATACTAAAATAACTCAAACTAAAGCTAAAATAAAAATATGACAAAATATATATAGACATATTAAACTAATAACTAATAAAATGACAAACACAACCAAATTACTAAAAATGTAAATGAAAACAAAAATATTAAAAGAAAAATGAATTCAAAATATTAATAAAAACTGTAATAGTACTATATATAATGATATATAATAGTATATAGTATTATGATATTACAATAAAAAGTTCTGACATAGAGCTACTGTATCATATGACTGATTTTTATGTTTTTTTTTAATTCAGCTTGACATTTGTGGTCAATGTAAACTATTGTACGTGTTCTGAATCTGATACAATAAGAACATGAAAGTCTGCATCAATATGAGGCTGAATAAATAACCACAAAACTTTCTGGTTCCCGTTAATCGTCCCGTTGATCGTCATGTGATCTTTCTGAAGCCATCCTGCTGTTCTTGTGTTCTTATGAACTGTAATCTCCTGCAAACAAAATAAAAAAAGCAGACTCGGGGGACTAAATTAACATAATCAACTCAATTCATTAAATTGACCATATCACCAAAAGGCAAATGCTTGATTGTATTTCCAGTGTAAAAGCTTCCAGCCGCAGATCTGGCTGTGTTTGGACTTTGGCAAGATGGGCTGAAGGTTAAAGAGCGCTTCATCTTATTTCTGAGACGGTGCATGAAAAGCAGCACTTTGTAGAGTTATGAAAGCATCATCTTTAATTCATGCATCTCTGCTGAAGTGCAGCGGTGCTGAGAAAGAATAGAGTCTAGATTAGAAACAGCCCTGACCAACAACAACAAGACTGATGTCTGGCTGCTTCTGCTCACATCTGCACTTTCACATTGAAGCAGTCGCTGCTGGATCTTGTGCTTGTTTATTCTCTCTTTGCTCATCTAATAACTTTCTCCTCTCTCCTCGCCTTATTTACTCCTCCCACTCCTCATCTCTATATCTTCCTCCTCCTCATCCTCCACGGAACACCCACGCGCTTCTCCATTCCCCTCCAGTCTCGCGTCGCGCGATGACGCTGACCTTTGCACGCGTCGCGAGATTATTCATTATAAATGGACATCTGAGATTTGATGGAGCATCTATCGGCTGAGATTCTCCTCCTCCGCTCAGTCTCTCGCTTCATCTCGCTCTCCTCCATCGGTTTCCACCGCGATGGGAAATTAAATAAAGTTTGCCGAGAGCATCTGGAGCCGCGAAGGATGTAAACCTGAGGGAAACGCGGATCGGGTTTCACGCAAACGCGCAGCCATGCAGGAGATCCTTGCGCTGACTTGAGGAAACCTCCGACGCGTTCATTTAGTAAACGATTCACGCCGAGACGTTAGCGGACTGGAATCGAAGTGAGTTCGGAGGCGATCCGAATCATGGATGTGTTCAGCTTCGTCAGGATGCCCAAACTAGCCGGGTGAGTCTGAGACGCAGCCGCAGTCATTTACACCACTTCACTTTCTTCACGTGTTTATAACGCACTGAGTGATTGTCAGCGCTATGGGAAACATGCAGGAGTGATGTCAGGGGAATTGATGGATATCGCCGCTGTCGCATCTCCACTCCTCCTTCATTCATTCAGAGCTGAGTGCATCTGGAAAGGCTCCTTATATGCTTCTACGTTCAAACGCGTTTTTACTGAGGAATCATGCTGAATGTTGCAGCTGCCGCTCAATGCGATGGTGAAAATGAATCTGGAAGCTCCAGAAAACAGTCAATCACTTCACAGTGCGCGAAATCTGCGCGTTTTCCATTGACTAAGCAGTAGATTTGGAGGTTACTGCATGTAGCAACAAACTATATTCTCTGAAATATTTATAAAAAATATTATTTATTTATATTATTTATAATGCATCCTATTTATAAAATATCTATTTTTATTTACATACACATATTTTTTTTAAATGATAAATATTTACGTGTTGCTATTTTTTATACATAATATTTATTCTTATAGAAATCTGTGCATTATCATTATTGACAAAGCAGTAGATTCTGAGGCTACTGTAGTAACAGTAGACATATATAAAATATTTTAAAAAGTAGTTGTTTTTTATATACTTTATTTATAAATGTTTATATTTATGTACATTTAATATGCATATTTTATTTGTAAACCAGTTTTTTTTACATAGTATTTCATCTAAATTCAGTATTTTAAATTAATAGAAATTTGCTTTATCCATTGACTAAGCACATTTGTAGATTTGGAAATTACTGTAGCAACAAACTATATTATATAAATATAAACATTCAGTAGTTATTTATATGTAATTTATTAATCTATTCATTATCTGCACTTTCACATTGAAGCAGTCGCTGCTGGATCTTGTGCTGCATGTTTTCATCTTAACATCTTTAAAAGGGAAATCATTTGGGTAACACTGCTGCTCACCTGATCATTGAGACTAAAAGATAAAAAATAAAAAAATGGAATGCATGCATGCTGTTAAAAGGAAAGTTGTATCCAAAACTGAAAATCGTCATCGTCATGTTGTTCCAAACCCATATGCTGATATTTTAGTCATTATTCACTGATAATCTTGCCAAAGATATTTGATTGACTTCAGAAGATGTAGTGCACATGTCATATGGATTTATGTTGTTTTTATTTTCCATAAAGTTTTAGTAATTGTGTTGTTTTTCAGTTGTATTAGTTTGTTTTTATTAAGCTACTTGATTTTTTAATTATATAGTTTTAATTCATTTTAATTTTCAAATTTAGTTATTTTATTTTAAATATTAGTATTTTTTTATTATAGTTAATGCTTATTTCAAGTAAAAAAAGTTTTAATGAAATGGTTTTAGTTTTAGTGAAATATAATAAACAAGCAATGGACTGACTCTTGACAGATTTTCTGTTTTCTACAGAAGAATGACAGAATTATCTAGACTAGTGTTAATTTTGTCACCTTTTTTAAAATTATAGTCTTATGCCGAGTTCACACTGCACGATTTTAGCCCGATTTTTCACTCGCCGACAGGTTTGCAAAATCGCCGACAAATGCCCGACATCGGAGGCAAATGCTGTCGGCGATTCTTCCTATTGTGAAGTCATGCAGTGTGAAACCCCCTGTCGCCGATCCATCGTGCAGTGTGAACACAGCAGCAACTGAATGCTACCCCAGATAGTCACGAGTTTGAAAATCGTGCAGTGTGAACTCGGCATTAGTCCTGTGTCAAATGTCCTTTTTGGTTTTTATCATATTTAGTCAGCAAATCCTGTTTTTTTTTAATTTTTAAGTCAAGTCTTAGTTGACTAGAAGTCTAGGAATTTTAGTCTAATTTTAGTCAATAAAAATGTCATATTTTAGATGCACAATGCTGCATAATTGTTAAACTGATAATCACAACTATTTTGCTGAAAATGACTGATCGTGAGTGTTGTCATTTGAGATGTTACATCAGAATTATTGCACTTTCACCTATAAGCACTAATATTGTGACTATAACCTCATGCACATTGTTTACTTGACCTCATAGAGTTTCCTGTTTTATTAAATTATCATATAAATGAACACACTCTCTACATCATGCAAACTCGTAAGTGTTATTTTAGTACCATTGAGATACTATTATAATTTTAATTACTATTTTGAATCTAATTTTTATATTTTCCATTTTCATTTTAATTTAGTAATTTTTTTTTTTTTTTTTTTTTTTTTTTTTTTTTTTTTTTTTTTTTTTTTTTTTTTTTTTTTTTTTTTTTTTTTTTTTTTTTTTTTTTTTTTTTTATTTTTTTTTTTTTTTTTTTTTTTTTTTTTTTTTTTAGTTAACATTTATAATTTTTTTTTTTGTTTCAATAAAATGTTTTGGTTTCTTTTATGGTTTAAATTTTAGTTTCTGTTTTAGTTGACTATTATAATCCTGTCTGATAAAACTCTAAAACAGTGAAATTCCTAAAATCAATTCCAACACTTCACATAAAACTCTGGGCATAAATGTGTCCTTTTAAGGAAAAAGCTCTGATAGGGGCATTTCAACTCTTGACATCTGGCAACCCAAGCATGAAAACTTGTGAAGGGTTTTTTTTTTTTTTTTTGCTGAAAATATAGCTAGAGATTTAAACAGCATTTTTGTCATCTTTTTTCGAAGATATTGCATGTTGGTCGTGTCATCTTGTTTTAATCTTAGAAAAAAGTCACCAACTAATATTTTTCATCATAGTTTTTTGGTATTGATGAGTATTTTAGTTTTTGGGTGAACTATTGTTTCACCATAGAAATGGCCTGTTACTGACAGTCTTGTGTGTAAAACTGACGTGAAGCTCTTGTTATTTAGAGAGCTGTAGGAAGTGCTGCTGCTGAGATGATCTCCAAACTCACAGCAGATGGGATCCAAACGGCTTTATTTTCCTCTGGCCTTTAACAATTACCATTATGACTACAATAATAATCACATTTATCAGTGCAAATGCTTTGTTCCCCCTCTGAGATTTGTGCAAATGAAAATTACCAGTTGCATCACCTTTCTTTTGTATTTGAGCATTAACTGCTGTAACAGAACAGCATTGTCCCACGTCACGTATTACAATAAAATGAAAAGGAGGAAAAAAAGTAAGATTTTTATTTTAGTTTTTTGAAGCTAATTTTGAAGACCAGATTTTTTGGAAAGAGAATCAACACCTAGAATGAGAATTACAAAAAAAAAAAAAAAAAGAAGGGGAAATGGCCAAATGCATGGGGGGGGGGGAATTGAGAAGAAAATGTGCTTAAGTGTCATTAAAAGTAGTGCAACAAATCTTAATGGTCTTAAAATAGGCTTTATTTTCATCACGCAACTTAAAACTACGTAACTTTTTCCTTGTTAAATGTGACCTAAACACGTTCTTGGTGGGTTTCTCCCGCACAAATGCTGTGCAACATCTGCTGAAATGTAAGAAACGTGTTAAAGTCTTAACCAGTGTGCAGGTTTTGGTCAGTTTGGCTGTAATTTTAATGCACTCTTGTCTGGCGTTCAGTTATGATGAGATGCAAGGTTTGCTGCTGCTGCCTGTTGTTTTTTTCCATGTGAGCTGTTCTGAAGGTTTCTTCACGTTCATTGTTCACACCAGAAGGAACAGGATGTGCCAGGCAGAGAGTGATGCATGTGCAGAATATTTATGAGCTCAAGCAGACAATAAGTTTTGCTGTAAGTGGTCAGATTTGAAATATTTCGTACCACAATGACTTCAGGACAAAGCAGTAAGGCCAGAAACGGTGCAAGTGCACAAAAACAGATGCAAATGATTAGCTAAAGCATCGCAGGTTGTGTTGCGTTATAATTAACTTTTTTGACATATTTCAGAAAACAGCAATAGCTATGTTTCCGTCCACATAATTTTATGTGAATTTTGGGTTATTGCGTTAAAAATGCTGGTTGGAAATGTCAAGATACGCATAAAATCTTTGCAAAATGCACATTAAAATATGTACCGCATGTGCTCAATTGAGGCAGAATTGTAAGAAAACATGCATAAACATGATGGAAACACATTTACAGAGTAAATTACTGATACTTGCACCAGTTTCTCATGAAGTGAAGATTTTATTCTTTTGAAAACATGGGATGGAAATGTTACTTTATTCACTCTTTTTTAATTTTTTTAAATGCCCTTTTTTATGCGATATTTCATTTTTTCACACAAGTAAAGATTTTGTTGTCTTGAACACATGGTATGGACACGGTGCTTTATGTGCAAATGTTTTTGCAGATGTTTTATGTTGTATTTCAATATTGTCCTCAAATGTTTAATGCAATATGGAATAATGCATAAAAAGTGCAAAAAAATTGAATTTTTTTACAAATGATTTATGCAATATTTCAGTATTTTCTGCAGATGCTTTATGCTGTATTTCAATATTTTCCTCAAATGTTTTATGCAATATTCCTTTTTTTGTTGTTGCATGTTTTATGCAAGTATATAGAGGTGAATTATTGTCATGCACTTCAAGACAACTCATAGATTCTGTAATGAATGTTTCCACAGTAACAATTTCAAAGTTTGAGCACATGAAAGTGATAGTTGACCACAAAATAAAAGTTTGTCACATAATTGACTCCCCTGCATGTTGTTCTGACTTTCTTCTGTGGAAAACGATAGTAGATATTTAGAACAATGTTATATTTTTTTAACTGAAATACTAAAATAGTTTTTGAAAGAATTAATTATTTTTTAAATGCATAGTTTATTTCAGTTCAGTTTTAGTTATTTTACTACGTCAAGTTAATCTAAATGAAAATGAGAAATGCTTCCTTGGCAACTAGTTGAAATAAGTTTAAGTTTTTGTATATTTTATTTCAGTTAATGTTAATTTATTTCAAGTAATAGAGCTGTTTTTTTTAGTATAGATATTTTAAACAATATCATATTTTTACACTTAATTTGATGTACAATTTTTACTCCGAAATTGCTAGTAAATTTTTCGTTCATTATTT